TATAAAAAAAAAATGTTATATTACAAAAATTAGAGTTTTAAATAAAAATATTTAAATTTCATTTATAAAGCTAAAAACTTTGACATTTTTTTGTCGTTTTTTTTCAGACAACTTATGAAGGTTTAGACRAAGTGTTGGTTTTAGAAGACGACGCGAGATTTGAACCGTATTTCCGTTTCAAATTAAAAATGGTTTTGAACGAATTGAGGCGCTTAAAAGTTTCTTGGGATTTAGTGTACGTATAATATAATTTGTTATTAAAAATCTCGTACGTACTGTTTTATGTAAGTTATTATGATTATACTATTGTTGCTTGTCGAAATAGTTACATTGGCCGAAAATCGTTAAACGACAACAACGAAAGCTGGTTGGAGAACTCGAAACTGCTAGTGCGGCCTGGCTATTCGTATTGGACACTTGGATATTTGTTAAGCGGRCGTGGTGCGAAGAAACTGTTAGACGCCAACCCGTTAAAGAAATTGCTGCCAGTGGACGAATTTCTCCCAATTATGTTTAACCAACATCCCCAGTAAGTTCTGCATAGCGTATGCGTGTGTGCGTGTGTGTGTTTGTTATTATTATTATTATTATTATTGTGAGTGTGAATGAATAATGACGTTCGAATATCATATCAAAACCTTTAAATAATATACAATAAAACCTAATAAAGTAATAAGTATTCCGAAAATTCGAATGGAACTAAGTCGTACCAATTATTATAGGTAATACCTACCGAAATATTCAAGTATTGAAAAGAGAATCGTTGTATTTCCATAACGACTTGCGTGGACTCAGGACTATGTAACGTAGGGTACGAWCGATATATAAATATTTCTCTGAGCAAATGTTCTTTTACTACGAACAAACGTTTTTTTGTAATTAATTTATACCAATATCTAGGTATTGAGTACTACTAAATATTATTTGTTGTGTCTGTGTACTCGATAAGTTGTTGAAATATTGCTTAGATTTTCAACTTCAGCAGCTTCCCTGGTTGGAAAGTGATTCTAGTTGGTGCATTATAGAGGTAAAATTTTGAAATTCTCAGTAATTGTCAAAAGCACCGGTTAAAACTAAAAAATTGTTGAGAAAATCGATTTTGGAAATTGATTTAACTTAAAAACAAATTACGCTAGACACATGCAATTTTCACTGAATTTTTATATTGGCATTTTCTATACTTAATAAAATTTTCRAAATATTTCAAATCTTTTGAAGTTATAAATAGACATTGAAATTTTCCATTTTAAATTCTGAGCGGAGCGAGGAATGCTGCATTGATTTTACCATGCGTGTGTGTTTTTTTTTTGTGTCTGTCATCACGTTTTGGGGCAGTAAAAGTGCTTTGATTTTCGACTTCAGTACCTCGTTCAATCAGAAAGTGAATCTAGTTGGTACTTTGGGAGGTCAAAAGTAAAATATTCTTAATGTTTTTCTAAATAATCGTGATAAACTAACTAAAAATTAAGGRAAAAACGGCAAATCTTACGCACAATTAGTTTTCGATAAATTCGAATTTAGTTTTTGATGAAACTTTAAAACAAATGACAATTATCTGAAAATGATATATAATGAAAAATAATATTAAAACTGATAGGCAAACCCA